TTTTATTTAAGTGGTATTTAATTAGAAATAAATATAAAATTTTATTAATAAATTATTACATTTCTATTTATAAAAAAAATTAAGTGTACCAAAGTTGGATGGAGTGGTATTATTTTTTTAAATTTCGTTTAACAATACTTCTTGAAACTTTAACTTTTAAATTTTATATCTTTATACTATTTTAAAAATATATAAAATATTAATCAAAATAAATATTAAATATATTATATATATTTTTAAAATATTAAAAAACTAAAAAATTAATAGCTGCAACCATAGATCAACACTCCCCAACTAAATCTTAATTTACAATATGCGGAGCACTAAACCTTTTTTTGTATTTAATGCATATTTAAAAAAAAATTAAAAACATATCAATTAAAAAAATTCAAATATTTTTCAAAAAATAATAAATAAAAATTTTGCCCCTCACTTGCGGCGCCGCCCTAACGTGAATCACGCAGAAAGTCATTATCCTTATCGTAATACAAATCCAGTAGAATTCTCTCAAGAATCCACCACATTTCGGCTGCTTTTTTAATTGCTCTTTGGTCTTTTGAAAATTTTTAATCTGTTCGGGTACGGACATTTATTTTACTACTAATTTTTTATTATTAATTTATATAAAAAATAAAAATTAGTTTTAATTTTATTAATAATTCAATTTAATTATATTACATAACATTGTTACTAAAAAAATTTATTTTTGTAAATTTTTTATTTAAATTAACAATAAAAAATACAATAAATAAATCTTTAATATATCCCCTTAATCAGAAAAAAAAATCATATACCTCTAAAATACATGTTAAAAAGCATTTTTTTTTCCTTTGTTATGAAATACATAGTAGCATTTTTTTATACCATTGATAAAGCTGATTAATTAATGACGCAAGAATGCTACGCCCAACGTGTCCTCTTCCAGGAAAGTGATGAGACCAGGTGGAGGCGAATCAAAAACTGTGGTTCCAATAGGCAGATTATGCTCAATTTCAGCCATCAAGTTTGCAGCACGATTACCCTCACTTAGGGTATGCTGTATGTTAAAGGGAATAAATCCTCCTTTCAAACGACGGATATCTTCCACCAGCACTGCTGCTAGGCTATCCTGCTCCTTGGATCCGTCAATAACCTGCACCGCCGATAAGGAATCCATCTCCACGACTAATTGACTAATCCCTTTGTTCCTACACAAAATCAGTCCTTCCCTGCAGCCCCATAACTCTGCCAGGAAAACCGAGATTGACCAATGTTCACTGAGAAACCTTGAATAAAGGTTCCCGAAGAATCCACAACAATTCCGCAATAATTGTTATGAAATATATAATAGCATCATTATTAATGCAGTAAACATCTGTCTCCAAAGCCAGACGCGTCTCTAAGGCAAAAGATTGAGCGTGCTGGGCGACCAGATGAGGTGGAAGCCTTTAATTATCAAAAATCAGCTTATTCCTACTTTTCCACAAATGCCAAATGGTTGCAAGAAAAACACTTGGCCAAGAGTTTGAAAACCCATTTATCACCGAGACGCGGTAGCATTCGGTCGTAACCAAGCATCAAAATCAGGAAGGAAGAAATCATTTGGCAGAGAGCCTATTGCTTCCCAAACCAAGCGAGAATAGTAACAGTCCCGTAAAAGGTGTAATGGTGTTTCCAGTGACTAATCACAACGAGGGCATATTGGACCTGAAGTCATATGTCTAGCAAAGCGAATTGAGTTTGTTAAAACCCGTCCTCTCCTTAAAAGCCACACAAAAAGCTTCACCCTTTCTGAGCAACACAACCTCCATATCCAGGTCCATTCCTTAGTGTTAAAAGTGTCCAGCAAGAGTGCTCGTTGTAGAAGCTGAAAAGCAGACTTAACAGTGAAATCCCCGTGGGCAGAGCCATGCCAATAAATAGAATCCTCAAGGTGGCTTACTGAAGATAAGGGAATAACAGCAATAATTTGCAACACATGACTTGGTAGAAATGGTGTTAACTGTTCTAATTGCCGTTTAGACTGATTAATTGTAACTCTCCTCCCTTTGCTACCCTTAGGCCTTCGGGAGTCCCACAAAAATACTTAGAAAAAGATGGCAACGAAAATAAAATTACTTCTAAGGGAAATATGCTTCCCAAAAAAGGAATATGCTTCCCAAGAAGAGAAATCTGCTTTTAGGAACATAGTTGAACCATATAGAAGGAAAATCAATTACCTATAAATGAAGACCAATTTAATAAACAAATATCTTACGAAAGACGCTAGAATACTTGAAACTATAAGATAAGCTAAACAAGTTCGTTTTACTTAAATTAAACATTTTGTACAAAAAGTAATTTACACAAAAATGCATGAGCACATGCTCTTCAAAATCTTTTCGAAATAACAGAAATAGAGTCATTGTTTTGGTAATACATTGAACTGCCTTTAGATCAAAAGCACTGAAATCTTAGCTTGTACATATAATGAGCATACGGGACCTATGCCAAAAGCTCTCAAACTGAGAGGCTGCTACCTTGTTCTACTGATCTTAAATAGGGGGAAATATCATGAGCTAAAAGCCCAATAATTAAGTATGAAGTTTAAGTCATAAACTTAGGTCCTAAGACCCTTAGATCTATACACACAAAGGGCATAATAACCAACTACACCAAGTCACATAATATTTAATTCAAATTCAAGTCACAAGATCATATGCTCATAATGCCATGCCACAATAGAATGCATAGAACAAAAATCACACAATACTATGGAGTCCATAGATGTGTGCTAGCAACACTTGTACCAGAGCTAATCACGACACTTATTCTACTGCATAGAGGTCCACTAAATACATAGGAGGATCCACTGAATACCTAAGCTTTAAGTTTAGGTCCACGTACTTTAGCTGCAAGCACATATACATGTCAAACAAGTTCAGAACATGTCCAAAATAATATTAGAATATTATTCCATTTAATGTTCCCATTAATCAGTGGCATGGACAATTAAAGTTCATACTAATATCCATATACACAGCTCACATATTCCATAGAACTTCCTATTGAAAGAAATTAAAGTATAGTGAGTGAACAGTAATTTGTGCGTGAATAGTAATTTATGCATGAACAGTAATTATAGAAGTAGCAATTTACTTTCAAGCTCATGCACAGTTCCAACAATGTCCAATTAAATGGACAACCCTCATTTGTCATGCAAGGAATACAAAGGAGCAATAGCATATTATTTGACCATCAAATCCACAATAAATTCAAACATGAGATATAAATTCTTCAACCCCGTACAAGTCCCCATATTATCTTATATTTCTAAAAAAGTTTTAAATGCTCAAAAGTCTCTTAAACTAAGGTCTAAGATCACATCTCACTAGTTTAAGCTAGTTTCCATCATGTTATAGGAAATTTTTAATCTACCCAAACTCTAACCCAAATTTATAACCAAAACTCATACTTAACTATGGAAATCAAGCACCAAGTTGAAGAAAATCAACAGAAATTGAAAGGAAATTCAAGGAAATCACTGCAAGTGAAGATAACAACTTCTCCTTTAACCCTCACGGCTTGAAAGAGAAAGGGGAATAGGTTCAGGAGATTAAAAGAAGAAATGAAGATTTTCTTTTCTAAAATCTTCTAGAGCCTCCATGACTTGATTCATAAATTGCCACATGTCTCAAATTTTGGGTAATATAGTTAAATAGTCCCCAACTATCTCAAGATCTCACATAAGGTTCACATACTCTAAATCTAATCAACTTAGTCCCTAAAATTATAAAATAAAGGGTTCCAATTTCAAAACTATTCACCAAGGTACATGGGGTGTTACATTAATGATATCAACCACAAACATTTTAAGCAAGTGTTGAGGAACTAGACCTAAGGCAACATCCAGGAGCTGTGTATTACTTGCCCAGACATCTTGCCATAAACAAATGTCCATACTAGATCCTACGCGCCATCGAATGCCAAGAGATAGGACATCCCTGCATTTTAAAATGCTTTTCCATGTGACTGAAGAGGAGGAGGAAAATCTGCAATTAAGGAAGCTGTCCAAACAAAGGTATTTTTGAGATAATGCTTGACACCATGGTTTCTCATGTCCTAAGAGAAGTTGCCAACCCAACTATACAAGTAATGCCCTGTTACAGTCCCTGGCTGATCTCAAACCTAAACCCCCGTATTCTCTCGGTAAACAAACTTCATTCCAACTAACAAGATGTCGCTTATTTACTTGGATATCAGAACTGTAAAGAACTTGCAGTTCAAATAATCAATAGCAGAGCATGTATTTTGCACCAAGAGAACTGTTTGCATGGTGTATGTTGGAATTGAAGAGGTCACAGATTATATCAAAACACGCTGACCTGCCAGGCTTAGAAGCTTCTGTTTCTAACCTACAAGTTTGAGCTATATCTTTTCAAGTATGTATTTATATGTACTTGATTTGAACCTACCATGAATGATAGGAACTCCAAGATAAATGCCTAAATCATTTGTCAAAAGGATGCCACAAATAGAACTAAAGGAATTTTCTACCTATCCCTAAATGTTTGGAGAAACAAACATTTTTGACTTGTTTAGATTGAGTTCCAACCCGGATCTATTTGCAAATTCAAAAAGACATCCCATAATAGTTTCTATTTGAAATATTGAAGCTACCCCAAATAGCATAAGATCATCTGTAAAAAATAAATGTGAAGGAGCCAACCCCCCATGTGAGATATGAAAGGGTTTCCAGTTGCTCTCATGTACCCTACTAAAAATCATGTGTGAAAGTTTCTCAATGACCATGATAAAAAGGTAAGGTGATAAAGGATCCCCTTGACGTAATCCTCTCTATGGGTGGAAAAAAGGCAACTCTTTTCCATTCTAAACAATAGAGAGTTGCAATGCAATAATAGAAAGCATGATTAACCGAATAAGTGGATTCAAAAGATTAAAATCAACTAGCACTTGTCATAGAAAATCCCAATTCACACTATTAGAAGCCTTATGATGATCAATTTTAAAAGCTAAAGCCCCCTTCCTCCCCTTAAGTCGATGCATGGAATGGAGAGCCTCTTGAACGAGTATGATATTATCCGTAGTGCTCTTACCAGAGAGAAAACTGCTTTGTAAAGGACCAATTAGGCTTCGTAAATGAGGGCGCAGCCTATTGACTATCACTTTAGATAGAATCTTATAAGCAACATTCAACAAGCAAATGGGCCTATACTTTTGAATCATATCCAAATTTTCTCCTTTTAGAATAAGGGTAATATGTGCCCAGAGCAAAATAGGATCAAAGCAGCCATTCGTAAAAGCTTTATTGACAAAAGAAAAAGGAGTATCCGAGACAATATCCCAATGCTTTTGATAAAAAAATCAATTGAATACCATTTGAGCCGGGCTTTTCAAACCTTTCATGGAAAAAAGAGCAGCTCTAGCCTCCTCCATGGAAACAAGCAGTAACAAGGAAGCATTGTCTGCATCAGATAACTATGGTTGGAAATGAGTATAATCTTGAATGGAAGCTCGGGTCTCCCTTCTGGAAAATAGATCGACAAAGAAGCCATGTACATGAGATTTTAAAACAATAAGATCAATGATCCAAAAATTATCTATCTTCAATGCCAAGACCCTATTTTTTGCTCGTCTCATGATTGTTGAAGCATGGTAGAACCTGGTATTATGATCTCCTGAAGCAATCCACTCAACTTTAGATTTTTGGCACCAAAACAATTCTTTAGCATGCAAAACTTTGTGATAATCTTCCAAAAGTTTAGACTCTTTAAACTTTGTAAAAAAAAAAAAAAAGAGTGAGAGTAATTAGGTGAATTATGGATCCCCACTAGACAAGCTTTTTAGTAACCTTTTTCTACAAAATAGATTCCCAAACTCAATTTTATTCCAATCAAAGCAAGTAGTTTGAACCACCCCAATAGCTGAAGAAAGAGAATGATTATAAAAAGACCACACATTAGAAAGGATAGCCTTAAAATCATCATGAGTCAACCAAGCGGCTTCAAATTGAATCGGCCTGGTTATTGGAGACCTCTAAGAGAGGGGGTCAATGTTTAACATGATCGGGTGGTGATCACTACATAGTCTAGGTAAATTTATCAATTTTGTATCAGAGAACTCCTCAAAGCCAGATACATTAGTAAGCACCTTGTCAATCCTTTCTCATAAAGTCACTCTATCATTAGTTTTACATATCCAAGTAAACTTGCAACCTAGAGAATCCAAGGAAAATAGACTGCAAGCATCTAATTGATCTCAAAAACGTTGAATACCAGAGACTCAATGCATTGCTTGCGACGAAGCTTCATCCATCATGGCAATATCATTAAAATCCCTTAAGACAAACCAACTCTCTGAAATTAATCTTGCCAAGTCTCTTAAGAACGACCAAAACTCAGCCTTCATGGCACTATGTGGCTAAACATAAACAAAGGTGGTAGCAAAAGTCATTCGTTGTCTTGTAAGGAGATAATGGATGGCTTGGCCAGTGGAAGATAACACCTTTAAGTCTACTAATGAGGATTTCCAAAACAACCATAAACCCCTTGCTCATCCAAGAAAAGGAACCTTAAACTGTTTATCAAAGCCAAAACACAACATAAAACAGAGGTCTGAGGAGTCTTCATCTTCTTTTGTTTCTAAGAAACAAATGACGTTTGGTTTATGCATCTTAAGTAATTCTTTACATTCCCTCCTAAAAGGACCATGTCTAACACCATGACTATTCCATGTCAAAATCTTCATTTAAAAAGAGTGTGAGTATGAACTGCATTTGACGATGTAGCCTCAATCGAGTGTGATTGAGCCATGTTTGACTGATAGTCTTATGAAAATATTATCCTTTGGGTTTGACTAGTATCAAGCATCGAAGATGGAGGCTATTGAGGAGTGATCACAGCTAAAAAGTTTGCCATACAAGACTTAACTGCCATGGAACACCTAGAATCCATAGGTGGTGTGGTAGACAAAAAACCTGCTGGATCTTGCTGTTTCTTGAGTATTGAAGGAAGCTGATATGGCTTGGGTGTAGGAGGCTTAGTATCTTTAGGGACTAGGCCCCCAACTTTGGCCTTTCTCTTTTTGGGCTTGGGCTTAGCAAAAGCCGTTGAGGATGGAGGAGGCCGGTTAGGTGAAACAATGTCCATCGATGCAGAGGATCCCACCAAGTCTTGATTCTGAGGCAAAACTCCCGCCTGTGTATTATCATGATCTTTATTTGAATTCAATAAATCTAAATCATCCTCCGTATTCTCTACTAACATGGCAAACCAATTACTTCTCGAATCATGTGAAATAGAATTGGCAACAATCTTGGATGTCGAATCATGCGGAATAGAATTAGTAACAATCTTGGCTAGCGAAGATTGCACCAGAGTTTTTGTATTGAGATCCAGATTACCCAAGATTTTCAATGAAGTTAGAAGGGATGCCTCCTTTGTCTGTGCACCTTGTCTGTGGGACAATTGCCATCGTTTGGACCTCTATTGTTGAACCATCCATGGCCCAAAAACCATAGGGTTCTCATCAGAATTTGGTTTTAGAGTTTGTGTTAATTTAATCATAGCCTTGGAGCTAGGATTACTCATTGTTGGAGGAGCTTTTTCTGGATTCTTATAGTGGCAAATATCTTCAGTGTGACCAAACTCCTCACAATGAAAGCAAATTTTGTGTAGACCTTCATATTTAACTAGAATTAAAGCCTGAGGTAAATCCTCTAAGTCAAGACCCACAGATGAAGGGAGCTGTTGGTTAAGATCAACCTCAACACAAACTCTAATAAACTTTCTTCTAATGGTAAGGAGAGTTGTAGGGTCCACTTTAATTTGTTTGCCAATTTTATTGCCTAAATAAAGACAGATTGCCTCATAGAAGCAAACAATGGGGACACCATGTAATTTGACCCACACGACTGTTTTAGGGGCTTTGTCTCTAGCAGGATAGAACCCTGATTCCCACGATTGGACAGTTAGATAATGATCAAACATCTTATATGGTCCTCCCATTAGAATCTTAGAACAATCTTGAGAAGACGAAAACATGACAATATAATATCCTAGACCCACATAAATTAGTTCAAACTCTTCCTTTATTTGCCATTCCTTTAACAAACGTGAATGCAACACATGAAAGTGAATAGATTTCCCCAGAAGTTTAATGATAATTGCATTCTTCCATGGGGCACAAAGTCTCTGCCAAATTGATTTGGGGATTTTAACTTTAGGGACCTTTGGCTTGGGGGGATTCACTCCATCTTCAACCATAGGAGATTGAGATTCAAGATCACGGTTGGTTGCCACTACACTACTAAAATTCAAGCCGTCAGCAACAATATATCAGCAACATAGAATCCTTTGTTGTTGAAAATTTGTATTAGCAACAATGTTTACGTTGCTGAAAGTTGCATACTACATTTTTCCCCTAAAAAGTTGCTCCACTTTCAGCAGCAATGAGTATGTTGTTGAAAGTGAATTTTAGCAACATATCCCATATTGTTAATATTTTTCGGTAATCATTTCCCCATCTAATTGAGCTCCACTTTCAGCAAGATATCCCTTGTTGCTGCAAGTGACTTTTAGCAACAAGAGCTATGTTGCTGAAACTCTTCTAACCACACCTAAAGTATTAGCAACATATACTATGTTGTTGTTTTTCTTATCTTTTACAAACCAAACATCAGCAACAAATCTCTTGTTGTTGATATTACCACTTTGAGTAGTAGTTGGTCAAGGCCATTATATATATACCTTTAAATAAAGAGTTGAGAACATAGATTCGACTCTTGAGCATTCAAGAGTCGACTATATATGGTGAACATTCGACTCCTAAATTCACGAGAGTTGAGAACATTCTGAGTGCCGTGTATAGTCGACTTTCTTTAAGAGAGTCAACTTTTGTTGGAAAAGAGTCTACTCTTATTTGAAAAGAGTCTACTCTTAAGTTAAAAAGTCAACTATTGACAAAAAATTGTGATAACTTTATATGAAATGTCTATGTAGTCTCATATGCATATTCACATTTTTTTTAGATAAAATCAAGTTTTAAATTAGTTAAATATATTAATAAACAATGTAATTATATTAATTAATGTGTTAAGTATTAAGTAAAATTTAATAAATTAAATAAAATCAACTACTAAATTAAATGTTAGGTATAAAAATAAATTATTTAAAGATTAAAAATTTATTAAAATAAGTTAAATAAATTTTTACCTTTGCTTTGCCTAATCAGATATAAGAAGGTGAACCCACAAGCTGGGTTCTTTTCTTTTCCATGGATTGTGATTCAGTGATTGGTTGATTTTGTTTCAATTTTTTTCTTCTGGGCTTTTGCCTTTATTTCTTGCAATTTTTCTTGGTTACATTTCTTTCTAAACTCAAACC